AGACTTATTTTTCCTAATTTTATAACCGCTGGTAAGAGTGTCAAATTTAACTTAGTAACATCTTGAAAAACTATTTATTTTGGTATGTGGTGAACAACAAGCGGGGGCAGCACCGAGTCCAACCATGGAGAAATTGACAGGATGATATTTTTATTTTTTTGGTAATGAAGTATTTGTACTTTGTCACTTGACTGTGGTAGGATACAGTCAAATCAAAAGTGGCAAATTGTCGGTGTGGTTTGCCTGGCAATGGTTATTGACATTCTGGCCCTCGACGAGCTCTCTCCACTGCATCACTGAATAGGAGGAACATCAATCCGGTTGCTGGTTTTTCTTGTGTGGCCCCAGTGGACATTAGTTTTACTGCTGCAGCGGAAAAGATCAAACAGATCAAGTCAGTTTCTGACAGTCTGATTGGTTAAGGTGACACAAATAAACACAAAACTTCTAATCGCTTAACTACAGTAAATTTTCACTGTGCTCTACTCGGTTATGAAAGACGCGTACTCTTATTGCCATTTTGCTCTGAGCACCCAATATGGGCGAAGGCGAATTGGATGCCAAAAGGGATCAGACTTTAGTAGCACTTGGAATATAATAATATATGATATATAAAAAAGGAAGTTGAGGTTCACAGAGTTAGGTTTCTAGTTACTGTGATGTAAGGTTTTGTATGAGTGAGGCATTTGCATTGGTTCAAATTGTCAGTAAGGTAATCAAAGCTTCCAGAAACTGGTGTACGGCACCTTTTATGATCCATTCAGAAGCAAAACTTATTTCTAGACTCAAAAGAAATAAATGAACATTAAATACAAATACCTGTCATATTTTTTTGTGTCCTGTAGTTTAATACAGTCAAAGTATCTGACCTGGCCTCTTTTAGACTTTTGGATGAAGGCAACCATGTTGGATTTCAAGTTTAGGAATTGTAAAGCTGATATAACTTTCCCAACTTCAAGCTTGGGGATTTCTAAATAAAAATAGACATCATAGGCTAAATAATCTCTTTTTATTTTAATCAACGTTTGTTGTAGTATTGCTTTAAAATCCCCAAAAGTATTGTGGTACTCAGAAACTTTGCATCTAGAGCAAAACTGTATAAACACGATCTTGCTGTCATGTAGACTGTCTTTGGCTGCTTTTTCAGCTGGTTGGCAATTTTTATCTTCCTGCTTGCTCCACTCTGATTAATTGGTGAACAGTTTCACCTAATGCTGCCCACTTAAAAAGAAAGGCTTCACATGTCTCTCTCAGTTACACTCTGCCAGATTGTCTTAATCCCTGCATGAGTCCATTCACAGTGCTTATGTGCACTTCCTTCCTTGTTGTGTTCATTCTGCCCTCACTGCGCTCTAATCTGTTTCTGGACATGACCCGGACTGCCTCTGCCTGCTCCCAGTCTATTTTAAGCCTGTCATCACCCTGTTCAGCCATCTGTCGTCTTACCAGCCTGCCAACAGCCCGTTCAGGCTACCAGCCTGCCAACAGCCCGTTCAGGCTACCAGCCTGCCAACAGCCCGTTCAGGCTACCAGCATGCCAACAGCCCGTTCAGGCTACCAGCCTGCCAACAGCCTGTTCAGGCTACCAGCCTGCCCAAAGCCTGTTCAGGCTACCAGCCTGCCCACAGCCTGTTCAGGCTACCAGCCTGCCAACAGCCTGTTCAGGCTACCAGCCTGCCAACAGTCTGTTCAGGCTACCAGCATGCCAACAGCCCGTTCAGGCTACCAGCCTGCCAACAGTCTGTTCAGGCTACCAGCATGCCAACAGCCCGTTCAGGCTACCAGCCTGCCAACAGTCTGTTCAGGCTACCAGCCTGCCAACAGTCTGTTCAGGCTACCAGCCTGTCTCCCTCCATCTCTAGTTAAGTCAATATTCTCCAATATTCACCGTGTCTGGGTGAATTATTGGCTTCTCTGTCAGAATACAGACTTTTTCTTGTTTTTCTAAACATGCAATAAAAAGATCTTTATTTCAGTCGCGACAAGCCTTGTTTTTGATTTGCTAATGCAATGCACTACATTGATAGTAAATCCTATAAGATGTGTGTTTTCTGAAACTGGGCTTGTTGCGTTCAAGGTCAAACATTTATTATTCGATCGGCTCCGTTTTAGGGAATCATTATTTCCACATCCTTAATCATCTGGTGTTGCAGAGCAACATAAAAAAACAACAGACCCAACAGTCACGCTGCATACGCTGCTGGAATTCTATGGTTAAAACATTAATTTTAAGGCAGCAGAGTGGTTCAATGGTCAATGGTTTAAAGGTCTAACAGTTAAAGAGTTGATTAAAGGGATGTAAACCAGAAAAAAGTGGAAGAATTAAAGAGAGAATGACTGTGACAAACGTAGCAAGAGAGCGGCTGACTTACAGGATCTTCATGGGATTTATTGATCATGTTTTGGTTCATTGTTAATTTTCCTCCAGCCAAAAGAGGTACTAACAACAATAGGGCTTCATGTTTATGTATGCGCTCTATAAAGATGATACGTCTTTAATGTGCTAAGATGCAATAATAAATATGATCTGAAAAACACACACATGCATGTCCAACTAAAAAATTAATTTTATTTATAGTAACACTATTTGGCGATATAGCATTTCTGATTCTGATCCAGATTTTCTTAATATGCGAGAGAAAGTAAAAGTTTAGTTGCATTAGCCAGGGTTCCTACAGCATAAGGCAACTTAAGTTTAAGACTTTTTAAGACTTAATGCCACTTGAAATAAAAATTTAAGACCAAATTCACAAGAAACACAAGAAAAACCTGCTTGCGACAACTTAACCCAAAGGTTTATTTTAACATAAACCACTGCAATAATGTTTCAAATGTTGAAAAGCTTCCCATACAGGAAGAAAGCTAAAAACACACAAATGACAGATATATTTGAACAATTATTTAACTGAATTCACAAACTTTGTTTTAGCAGGGAACAAAACAAATCAGTTTTAAAGCCCCAACATAACCAGGCTAAGTCTTTTTTGCAGCTATTTTTCTTTGTATGGTTTTCTTAGTCTGTTTGATTTGGTGATAAGTGGAGGCGTTGCAGAGACAAGGGTGGAACTAAACTGAGAAATACCGGCTGTTTCTCTGTAACTCCATTTTGACGCTTTGTGTTTCGTGCTTCGCATGTGCGACTCCACTGCCTTAATTCCCATCGTTCTGAGCTTGAATGACTTCTTGCACTAAATCCACTGAGCTTCATGTATGTTCCCTGGTTTTAGCCGTGGAGAAAACTCTTGGCTGGAGACAATTTGGTTACATTTACACTTGCTCATATTTTCCAGATAATAAGTTAATGGTGCATCTCCCAAATGTCCCGGCCGCAACAACGCTTTATTGGTTCCGCTATCGGGACGGAACCAATAATGGCGAGGCGTTTTTTTTTAATAAAAAAGAAAAAAAATGTGTCAATTTTAACGTTTTATTTAGAATACAAAAATAAATCGTAATAAAAATAATCCTATTTATGATGTTTTAAAAATTAGGATCTACGAAAGACTGATTTAAAGCTACAGTGTGTAACTTTTAGTGACATACATCCAGACTGCAGACCGCAGCAACATGAACGTCTCCCCCCCACCGCTTCTCCCCCCCAACAGTACGGCGATCGTTACAGGACAGAATGTCTTCCACGACGTCCGCATCACCTACCTTCTCAAGTGATGAGGTTTGTTTGCATAGATAATTTTAATACTGCCATCTATTGTTCACTACCGTCTCAGTTCATCTCTCTCAACTTGCCGTAGTTACTTTCGAGCGTAATGGGAGATCTCGCAATCGCTAGTTTGTTGGCTCTGCGCTGCCGTAGCGCAAAGATGTCTGCCTCCATGGCTGCGAGACCCGCTCCTAAGTAATTATAAATAACGAATTCTAAGGCAACGCAAATATTAAGGTTAAGAGGCTGAGCTCGTAGATGATGATAAATAACATAGTTATGTATAATATATTACATTTCTGACTGTATATCCCTGTAATTATTACACACTGTAGCTTTAAGACATTTTAATACCAATTAAGGCCTTATTCTTATTATGAAGAATTCAATGCCTTTTAAGACTTTTTAAGGACCCGCGGGAATCCTTTTTAGCAGTTCCTGTGATGGATTCCTCCAGGAGAGAGATAACAGACCGTGTCCATTTTTGTTAATGATTTAGAGGAGAATCTGCAGTGTTCCAAGCTAGTAAGAAAATAAAATAGGCGGCCATGTTGTTGATTCTATGTATCTATGTTCTATCAGGGTCATACTAAGCATAACCTTTAGGGTAATTTATATAACAGATCAGAGCATATTGTTTCAGTTAATAATTGATCGCCAACATGTTTTCCCTTTCAGTGTTTCCAACATGTCCCTCTGCACCAAGTTGACATCCAACAGCAGCCAAATAAATCAGTGCTGGTACTCCTTGCCAACAAAGAGCAGCATAATCCTGGCGAGTGGGAATGTTTTTCTTGGGACCTCAAAGTCACATATTTTCAGTGTTAAAAAAAAAGAGGAGGAATTAAAACAAAAGGGCAGGGTGTGCACATGTGACCTGGTGAAAGGAACGATAGAGCTTTATAAAGAGGCTGCTTCAGCAATACATTGGGTTAACATCATCTTCATCATCATCACCAAGTGAAATAAGCATGATGCCGAGCAGCAGGGTTTGGATCCAGAAACTCCACCATAGACAGGAGACATGAGCCTGAAGTCAAACTAAACACAAAAATAATCCTTTTCCTATTTGGTCCAATTCATATAAACTAACTAATCTCCCTTTAGAAGGCAGGGAAATTATTTTACTTTCTATTTTATGGAATTATTTTAATGTATTTACAACTATGCAATTATTCTTCACTTGTAAAAACTCTATTAGAAAAACTTCAGCTGCTTTCCAGCCCTTAGAAAGCTTAGTTACAGATAAGACGGCTAGAGCGGGGTTCCATTTAAATGAAACATTAAAGAATAGCTGTGGACAGATTTCAGCAACCTGTGGAGCGAACACTGTACATACCAATCACTGGATGGCCTCTGTGCGTCCCGCTCTGACGTGGAGGTTCAGCAGGAGAGATCCACGGTTCAAGCTTGTGGTCAGCATCTGTGAGCCTGATAGTGGGAGGCGGTGAGAGCTAGCACCGTTTTTTTTTTTTTTTTCTGAGAACGTCAGGGAGTAAAAGACTCCCTCATTTAAAAAAAAAATCCCCTCTAAATAACTGGAACAGAGGTGAGAAAGAATGCGGAAAAAAGCTGCAGCTTCTGCAAGCTGTTCAAGCAGAAGGTGAAGACGGCTCTGGGTTCCAGCCTTTGTTTAAATCACATCAGGACACTTTTAAATATTTCTAAGTGTTTATTTACTTCACCTTAGCAAAGGAATGTCTTTGACAACAAGACATGTTTATTTTCCATTAGAATTCACAAGATCTCTAACAAAATAGGACACAAAACATTGATAGAAACACAAAACATCTGCTTTCTCGCTAAAAAGATGTCAACCCCCCCTCTGACAGCACGCTGAGATTTGGCTGGAACCAGGCAGCGTTTACATCATCACTGTTCGCCCCCAGGAAGGAAACATTCATCAGGAGTTATAACAGAGACATGATAAATTACAGGGGAGAAAACAATCTGAAGACAAAGTTTAAATGATTACAGCACAGAAGTCAAAGGATCCCGTCACGCTTGGACTGAATGACGTCTAATAAAAGTCAGAAAATTACATTTTTTTAATCTGCTGAGAATTACTTAAAATAAGAAGAGCAGATGGTCAGAGGGACAGTGTGGGAAAATTCACACTGGGCTGAGAGGATTTCTATTTATTTGGAGTAATTCAATGATTCAAGTGCCAGAAAATGTATTGGATGATTTCAAGAATCAAACTTTAAGTGTGCAAATATATTAAATCAGGTAAATCTGCATGAAGGAAAGGTTAAGCTGTTGTGGTTCATTAAGTTAAGAATAAAAACCAGTGCTGTCAACGTGAGCCGCAGCGCTGCTTTTGGTAGCAGAGTTCTCCGGGCCCTGCAGAGCGCAGCGGGAACGCTCCTCAGAACGGGGAGAGGCTTGGCACTTTTATATTGATGTCTCCAATGTTGATGTTGCGAGGGATCTCTGGCAGGTTCATGTTCTTCACGGCAGAGACAGCGCGAGCAGGGGCCGCCGACAGACCGCCCTGCGCACAAAAAACAGGACAGAAAACACCTTCAAGGCCTTTTACAGAGATTCTCCTGGTTTATACGGATTACTTGATTCTATTGTCTTCTTTCTTTTAACTATGTTTGATTTTCTTTGAGCAAATGTAACAGTAAGAGCAGAAAATAAATGTTCAAATGTGTTTGCTGCAAACATTATTCTGCTATAGTTCTCTGGAAAAGAAGCCCCCTACGTGCCCAATGTGCCAGTGTTTGTAATTTATTTGCTGTATAAATACAGCTGTTCTTTGGAGGCCTTTGAAGGGTTTGTTCAAGAAACCCAGAGAGGTCAGGGATGAGGAGGAGGAGAAGATTTAAGCTGGGTTAAGTTTGAAAACATTTAGCCAGGATGTGAGCATCCAACAGAGAGCTTAGAGAACAGAACTACAAACTGAAAAGAAGGGAAATAGCTGAAAACAAGACGGAGTAAAAAAAAATAAATAAATAAAAAAAGCTGAATGTTACACCTTAACTCTTCTGAAACAAAGCCTCAGAACTCTGGGATCTCTTTCATACCGGCAAAACCAGTCATTTGTGGCAAAAATTGATAATTAAAAAAAATATCAGTGTTTGTTGGAACCCAACAGGTTTGTTTCATCTCTGTAGCGACTCTGTTTTATGGTTCTACTATTTACATGTCATACGAGACACTGAAATACGATTAACTGTCGCTTAATGGTTCATTACATTTAATTTGTTTTATCCTATATCACTTATACCACTTTCATACAGGCCAAAAATTATTTTCAGGCTCTAGCGGCCTTTATTTTGTTGTTTTTATTCAGACAGGAACCACAGCAGCACACAAAAACTCATTTTAAACCAAGGAAAGATCAGGTTTTAGTGGCGGTGGGAACAGCTCACTGTCTAACGACTCGCTAAGTGACCCGGGGTTAGATCGTCCTTAAACGGCCAGACTTCGGTCAGCTAACAGTAGTCAGACCCAGGTCGACTACCTAATTCATGTGATACCACTGAGTGCAAAGAATGGACGTCACAACATGGCGGCAGTCGCTTCTGATCCAACAAGCCGAAACAAATCTGTTTACATTTGATAAACATGGTTTGAGAGACGGACGGACAAAAGAACGAAACGATGAAGCACATTTTCTACGCCCCGTCTTCTTTTCATGTTGCTCTCTATTGTTTAATTTCCTGATTTCTGTCGCACTGATGACATCATCGACAATAACCCTGCATGAAGGGAGACCAATTCTGATTGCTAGCGGGTCGAGCCTTGTTTGAAAAACAAGCGTTAACCCACTAATTTCAGTGGGAAAGAGGCTTCAGAAGGTCAGTATTGCAATGTTGCCTTTGTCCACCAGAGGGTGCCATTGATAAAACGAAAGCAGAGGCCGACAGCAGGTGTTTCAGCTGAACAATGTATGGCAGAGCTTTGGATCTCACATATAGGACTTCGAACAAAAGCACTGCTGCAAAAGATAGTAAAAATATATTCCAACACCTAAAAAGTTAACCACAGCAAAATGATGAATGTTGTAAACTCTGCATGTCCTCGTGTCGCCGCTGACCAATTAAAAACACTAAATAAATCAGCTGTGAAGCCAAAGACGTTGGCCTCGCCGTTGGAAAAAGCGACCCGTTATGAATGAAGAAGGAAGATATGGAGGGAAAGCACAGCAGCTATATATTACGTTATTTAAATGTTTATCAGATGATCTAATACCTGTGATGTGATGTCGTCTTATTCAGAGGTTTTTCAGCCATTTTCCAAACTTGGTAATGTTCTCAGTTTTACAACTTTTTGTGCTTCTTTAAAATTCCCAGAACATAAAGGTCAATGCTAATAGTTTTCAGATGCTCTGATAATGCTCTAATTTTTGGACAGTATTTCCACTTTTCTTTTTGTAATTTGAGGTCAATTTCTTTTTTTCATTCTGCATTTTTTTTTTTATTACACACAAAAGAGCCCTTCTTTATTTTACATTTTATTCAGTTGTGTGTTTTTGCTTTGTTTCCTGTTTGGTTGATGGGATCTTGTTAAAGGTCTAATGCTGACATTAAATTTGAAACCAAAGGTTTTAATTAGTATATCAGTGCAATTTTATGCACTACTGTTTTTGAAGGTAATTTAAATATATGATAGATATCATGTATCGCAATTATAGCCCAAATATAGACTGATGTTAGTTAGACAAGTGAATATTGAGCCTTAAATACATGGAAGCTTTAAGTTGTATTGGTGTTACCACTACTACCTCTGCTAAATTTAATGTCTGAAGAGTGAGTTAAGAGAAGAAAACCCCCACAAATGATAAAAAACAGACATTCCTCTTATCATGACAGACAGGGCCTGACCTCTGACTTTTCCATGCGGTTTTGCACCTCCACTTGTGCAACTATCTCGTTCATGTTGGTCTCCAGTACCATGCCTCCCATCACAACCTCCTGCAGGATATAGTGGACCTGCAGAAAAAGCAAGTAAGAAACAACAAAAGCGTTAAGATCACTCCCACTGCTCCAGTTCTCTTTAATCTTATTTAACTGTCTCTCAATTATCAGAACTCTGCAAGTAAACATAATCGATGTGTGAACGTGCTAATATTTATATGCTGGCAACATTCCTAACGACAAACTTAGCAGCTCCATGTTACATCAAATTACTGATGGCGTCAAGATGGCCGCTGATGTGTCTGATCAGTTATCCAGCAAGGAGGACTTTTAATTACATTCTAAAATGAATGAAGCTTCGTAAAGTTATGCAGGTTACTGAGCAGCAGAGATTTTCTTTCCAGTGGAAAAAACAAACAAACAATAAAAGCCTGATTTCTACTGATAAGCCAAGGTGTGTGAGTGAAAGGACACCTTCCGAGAGGAGCATAAAGAATTCAGAGATGTTCCCGATCCCGTTTGGAGGAGATTTGATAAAGAAGAGCAAAATGGATGTTAATATACTATAACGACTTAAATAAAGAATTAATCTGAATTAGAGCTGAGACAATTAACCTGATTAATTGTGATTAATCGATTATTTAAATAATTGTCACCTAATTTAGTAATCGATTAATTGTTAACTAGAGTGTAGAGACTCTAAAACGTACCTTTAGTTGACAGAGCGACCTACTTAGAGCAGCAATCATTCCAAGATTGTGAAAAAAATATGTAGAAATTCTGCATTTAAGATAGAAAAAAACATTTAAGTCTGTCAATCTGCTCTATCCAGAACTCCTCAAGTGGAAAAAGATTTAGGTTCACCTAGTTTCATTCTGTGAAAACTTTTTTTAAGGAGCTTTTGCAATCAGATTATTAATTTATTAATAAAAAAAATAAAAAGACGGATTAATAGTTAAGCGAAAGTCTGGATGCTGGTGAATGTTTGGGTCAGAACTTTACCCGCTTGTAGTTTTCTGAGATAACGCTGGTTATTTTTTATCAAGGTTTTGGATCTGAGTTTAGATTGCGTTTTGTCACTTTTATTTATTTGTTGTTATAGAGTGAAACTTTAGAAATATAAATATTAATATGGCGAAGCGCAACTGAGACTTTCTACAGTTAGATCTGCTCAGATAGAAACCAATTTGCTTTGTTTTACTGAAAACGTTTAACAGCTTTAAACTGTAAAAAGGTGAGATTAAAAAAGCAGCGACACAACCTCTCATTTAAAGGGTCAGAGTCAAATTTCACACCTGTTCAGAATAAGGTGTTGAGATTTAGTCCTTCTTGAGCCTAGAATTTCAGCAGCAGGTTCGATTAGCAGACATAAAAAAGATGTGGCGCCATCTGCTGGCAGTTTTACAGAACTTTCAGAAAGTGAGACGGTGACAATGCAGCAACTAAGCAGAGCCTGACCGCACAGCATACACGTCATACACACTCCGCTTTGTTTAAAAAAATATATAAATATGAAAAATATAACCGCGGATGTCTGGGGGACAGTGATTCGCCTACATGTTCTGAATGCTGGCGTACCATAAAGAATAAA